ACCACTAGGTGCCAGGCACCAAGTTAGGCGTAGGATAGCATTAATAATAATAACAACAATGGGGCCAGGGATATAGCTCAGCGGCATAAGCGCCTGCCTGGCAAGCGCAAGGTCCTGAGTTCGATTCCCAGTACCAAAAAACAAAAAACAAAAATGTATTGAGTACTTGCTATGTGTTATATGTTTTACCTCTGTTAATTGCATCAATCTCTATAACCACCCTATGAGGGAGGTATTATAGTTATCATTTTATATAAGGAAATCGCGCAGATGAGAAATCATTTTTTAACTTTGTGCAGGGAGGGCCCTGGCAACTGAACCCAGGCCCTTGTGCATGTGAGGCGAGTGCTCTATCATTGAGCTACATCAAGACAAGATGTGCCTTCCCTCCAAGAATGTCATAGTATACTCAAGAAAAAGCAGACATTGACCTAAGAGGTAATAACAGCTAACAAGTGTTTATTAAGTGGTGTTTATTATTAAAGGCTTTGTAGGCACGGTCTCAGTTAATCCTCTCAATGACTGCATGACTTAGTTTCTATTACATTCCCTGTCCTAGTGATAGGGAGGCTTATTAGGGTTAAGGACCTTCCCCAAGCCAGCAGTCAGGCAGGTCCCTAGGGAGGCCCACAGTGGGATCCCGGATGGGTGGTGTAGACTCCAGATCAACCCTTCAGCTCTGTCAGGGGCTCTGTATGCAAGAAGCATCTTGGAGCAGGGAGATATTTGAGTTGGGCCTTGAAGGATGTTTAGGAGTTTGCCTCCCCCTCCCCCTACACTTAGTATACAGTGTAATGAAGAGGAATACAGTCTGGGGTTTGAGTCCCAGCTCTGCCGTCTTCCCAGCAGAATGTGTTGTGGTAAGTTCTCCTCTCCCCTAAGTTTCCTTATTTGTAAAATGAGGACAAGGAAAACTAGGCTTGTGAAACACCATGACAAACAAACAGGATCGGCTACAAAAGTGCCGAGCTAGGTGTCTGCCACGCAGCGAGAGCTCGGTGAGTGGCAGAGGAGAGGACAGGGCACTTGCACATCCCAGCGCTGACACAGAGGGATCGATCGATTGATCGACAGATGACCCTGTTAAGTAGGCACTCATTTTAGGCCCACTTTACAGGTGCAAAACTGAAGCACAGTCATCCTGACCTGGTAAATGACAGAGGCAGGATTGGAACTCAGGCAGTTTGGCCCCAGAGTCCACAAGCTTAGGTCCCCCAATCATCTGCTATGACTTGTTTATTTATTTATTTATTCCTTTTTTTTTTTGAGGCAGGGTCTTATTGTGCAGTTCAGGCTGGACTTGAGCTCACTTTGTAGGCCAGGCTGGTCTCGAACTCGCAACGATCCTCCTGCCTCAGCCTCCAGAGTGCTGGGATTACAGGCATGAGCCACCGTACATGCTGGGCTTGTTGTTTTTGTTTTTATTTTGGTTTTTTTTTTAGACGAGATCCCGCTATGTGGTTCAGGCTGGCCTTCAATTCACTCTGTAGCATAGGCTGGCCTCTAACTTGCAGCGATTCTCCTGTCTCAGCCTTCCGAGTGCTGGGATTACAGGCATGGGCCACTATGTCTGGTTCTTGTTCCATAAGTTTTATTGATGAGCTGTTCTATGAGCCAAGAATATAGCTGTGAACAAAAGCCAGCAAAAATGTTTGCTCTAAAGGACTTTATGTTCACGTGTTGTGGGGGCATTTGCAACAGACAAGGAGCAGACAAGTAAGTAAAATGTGTATCAGAGGACAGAAATGAAGGGGAAGATGAGTGAGACCTAGCAGCTTGCAGTGCTGCCTGGGGTGGCATCTGGGGAGGGTTCTCTGAGAAGGTGATAGTCCAGCAAAGACCTGAAGGAGGCTACAGAGTGAGAGCTGTGGAAATTCTGGAAGAAGGATGGTGGAGGGAGGGATCTGAAGAAGTGCAAAGGCCCTGAGGCAACAGGAATAGTAAGGAGGAAGGTGGTTGGGTGGGGAGCAGTGGGGAGAGCAGTAGCGATGAGGTCAGAGGGGTGTGTGGAGAAGAACACATCTCCACCCATCTTTAAACTTTCTATGTGGATTATAAAAACAAACATGGTCACAGGATGCAAAATAGGCTTGCTTTTCACAGCGGGAAGGAGACTTGAATGAAATGTACTGTGGAGCCTCCCTGCATAAACATCTCCTCACCTCCGTCCCTCTATCATCCATATCAGCCAATAGGCTAGAAATTGGAACCTGAGGTCCGACTGTGACCAGGCTTCCAAGCACAGGCTCAGGGTCTGAGCTTCTGCCGGGGCTTCTTGGTGGGCAGCGGGAGTCCTGGAGGTCACCCTCCCTCAGACTCTGTGGAGGAGCGGGCCACCGGCTTCCTCCTAGCTAAGAGCTGTGTTTAGTCAAGGAAGCCTAAGGAATCCCGTTCTGCTGCTCCTTGGAGGTCCAAGTTATCTCCACGTCCTGGTGCGGACAGCCTGCGGGACACTCAGTGACCCCAGCTGCATCCCACAGCCCGCATGCACATCTGGGAGAACAGAAAGCCCTGCCTCAGGCCAGGCTGGGTCTTCTTTGAGGTTCTGTGGGATCCTTGGGTTGGTTTCAGCTTGGAATCACCATTTTAGTTCCTTTTAAGGCAAGGCAGAGGAGGGAGGCTGCAAGAGAACTTTAGTTCATGATTCTGTGAAAAACAAACAGTTCAGTTCAGAGTCCAGCCACTCACCTCTGTTTTTGTTTGTCTTGACCTCAGCGGTGGACTCCTGGCCCTGGTGTTTATTCCTTTTCAACAAAAAGCTGGTCACAGAGGGAACTGGATATGATGCCATGCTAGCTTGCAGGGGTGGACGGGGACAGCCAAAGGCCAGGGCAGATAGTGGCCATCACTGACTGCACAGCACATACAAGATAGCAAGGACCTGCACCTACCTAGACCCCTTCTGGATAATGAAAGGCAGGCTGAAGTCTTCAAGGACATTGTGTTGTTGTCAAGCTGTGAATCTAATTTTAATTTTTCTATATAAAATAAAATTTATTGCCAGGCACGCCTGTAATCCCAACACTTGGGAGGCTGAGGCAGGAGGACTGCTGCAAGTTTGAGACCAGCCTGGCCTACAAAGTGAGCTCAAGGCCAGCCTGAACTGCATAGCGAGACCCTGTCTCAAAAAGACAAAAAAAAAAAGTTTATTGAAAAGTAACTGTACTTCCACTTCACTGTGACAAACAAAAACAAAACAACGATGTGAATTTAAACAATCTGGCTCCAGAGGTTTTTTTTTTTTTTCTTTTCTTTCTTTCAGTACTGGAGACTTAATCCAGGGTCTTTGTACTGACCTACAGCTCCATCCCTTTTTTATTTTTAAATTTGAGACAGGATCTGGCTAAGTTGTTAAACTGCTAAACTGCCCAACTTGGGATCAAACCGGTGATCCTCCTACCTCAGCCTCAGAGTGCTGAGATGACACTCATGCACAAACACACCTGGCTCCAGAGCATGTATTTCTAATCTCTGTGGTACACTGGTCCTTTAACAGACTTCCTGTAAGAAACTGTGAACAACTTGCTTGGGGCAGGGGGCTTGCAGGTTTCACTGTATTTTCCTGCACTCATTCAATCGTTTCAAATCTTGACACTGGACATGGTGACGCAGGGCTGTAACCCCAGCACTTGGGAGGCTGAGGCAGGAGGATCGCAGCAAATTTGAGACCAGCCTGGGCTACATAGTGAGTTCAAGGCCAGCCTGGATTACATAGCAAGACCCTGTCTCAAAAAAAAAAAAAAAAAAAAAAGAAATCCTGATTCAAACACTCTGACGCGTGCTATGCATTAGTGACTGGGAGATTGCCCCCAGTCCCTTCTCCGCCCTTCCGCAACTCAGAAATCAATCAAACTGGCAAACAAGGTCATCTCCTTTGAAATTCTTATTTTTCTTTTCCTTCTGCTTTCATTTTTCTGCAAGTCAGGTGTTAGAGAGAAGGTCAGCTGAGGGCACAAATAAGTTTCCAAAGGTGACATCTGCCCCAGGCATCAACAGCAACCAAGGAGGCCCAGATGCCTACCACCCGCCTGGTTCAAACTATTCCCACACCTGCCCTCAAGGCCTATAAGATTCTGAGCAACTTTTTCCGTTTTGAGGCCCACATCCTTCAGGACCGCCCGGGTGCAGGTAAAACGGGAATTTTTCTCTTCCCCGGAGAATCTGTTAGAGCAAGTCGGTGTGCAGCCACCTTCTTCGACTGCGATGCACACTTATTTGCTAGGTGAAGGGGGAAAGAATCTGTCCAGAAAGGAAAACACCCAGCGCAGGGGGTTCCGAGCAGGCTTCAGGCAATGGGGCGTCGTCAGTTCCAGACTTAAGCTCTGGGGGCCGGAGAGGGAGCCTGGCCCATTGCTGATTGCCCAGGACCTAGCTCAGAGCCTGGAACACAAAGTAGGGCCTCAGAAATATTTGCGAATATGGTAACTGCCACCGTAGAAGTGTCTGAGCCAAGAGAGGGAAAACGAAGTCAGAGGAAGAAGAAAAAAAGGAACGTATTTCAAAGGAGCAGATGAACACTTTCGGAAAAGTTTTTCTGGAAAAGGCAGCCCCGCCTAACAGAGGGCATTGGGGAGGCGGCTACTGCGGGAAAGGGCGATGAGTCCTGAGGCTGCAGCGGGGGAGAGGGCAGGAGGCGCCTCCCCGCCTTCCCAGGCTGGTCGAGGCATGAGGTCACCTGGCACCCTACCAGCAGCAGCTGCGGAGGACGCGCCGGCGCGGCGGAGGGAGGCGGTGTCAGGCGCCGGACCCCGAGGAACGGGGAATTTCCCTCCGCCCCCTCCGGAGGGTGGGTTGAAGGCGTTTGAGCTTGGTGACGCCCATCAAAGGCCACACCCCTGAGGCTAAGCCACGCCCCACGGGGGGCTCTTGAGTCTTCCGAGGGGCCCCTCCGCCCTCGCCCTAAGCCCCGCCCCCTTGGGCCAGCGCGGCAGTTTCCTCCGGAGAGTCCCGAGGCGCCCGCCTCGGCCCCGCCCCCAGCCGAAGCCCCGCCCCGGGCCCCGCCCCGCAGCTTGAAGCTGCACGGGCTGCAGCCGCCTCAGAGTCGCGCGCGGGGCGTGGAGCGGAGCTGAGGAGTCGCGGCCGCGGCCAGGACTGTCGGGACTGTCCAGCGAGCGCAGCGCGGCGGGAGCCGGCAGCCGGAGCAGCCCCGGAGCAGAAGTAGCGGTCGCGCCGCTGTCCACGGAGCCCAGCCGAGCCGGCCATGGCGCTGTCGATGCCACTGAACGGGCTGAAGGAGGAGGACAAAGACCCCCTCATCGAGCTCTTCGTCAAGGTG